ACCATAGTGTTATTTCTTCTTAGCGTGATTAAATTACCATTTTCTGAGTTTCATCACTTCCAAATGAATCATTGAAGGGTTTGGAATAAATCGGAGATTTTGTTTTTGCAACAGCTACGGGGGTCTTCGGATTGTTGAGGGGTGTTTTTTCTCGTGAGATAATCAACCTCTGTAGTTTTCAACCTCATTTAGCACCTACAGCTTCATATAACATTTATAAATGTCTGTTGCTTCCGTTTGCACACAAACAAAGTCAATGACTCGTGTACTGATGAGAACTTGCTTCTGACCTTTTCGATACCAACGATTACCTTTACCTAACGTGACAGAATCAGTTGTCAAACATCAACAGCGTCAGTGTGGTGAAGTTTTTTACGACGTTCTGTGCGCATTCATGGACTACCGGCTTGACAATGTTGTCGTCGTCTGTTCAGAACTAATCTAATTTTTTATAGTATCAAAAGCAGGTGTGCAAGGTGGTACGAGCTTGGTAGCTGCTGTTCCTGTTGGGTCTTGTTGCTGAGTTCGAACAAGTAGCTGAGCAGTACGAATCGTAGGCTAACATTTCGGCGACGTTGCCCTCTCCAGAGCCTGGACGTACAGCCCAGACGAAGAAGGCTGTGTCGTCGAAACGTTAGCCTACGATTTGTTTTGCTGTCTGTTTTAACTCAACAACAACAACTTCCAACCTTGCGCCAGCTTCAGCAGCTGGGTTTTTGATAGTTGTATAAATTGCTTTAATGCCAAAGTTAATAGAAGGTCGGTCTTCTGATTGATCACTTCTCTAAATATTAAAGTGAGTATTACTATTATGAGTAATAAAATTGTATCTGATGCGGACCGATCTATACGATGTTGATAGCAACAATTTATGGTGATTCATTCTCTGCATGGTACATGCTCCTTCGTAGTCTGGATTGACCCTTCAAGGACTAGCGCTGATAGGCAAGCGGCCTTCCTTCATCACTTGCCCGGCAGTCAGACGGGCAGCATCTGCACGTCTGTGTATGCATGTCTGGCTGTCTGTCTGCTTTCCCACAAGACGTTTACAGTAGCTGAGTGAGATTTGATGTCGCGCGGTGAGCATCATAAAGACTCTCATTGTTCACAAAGGGTCAATTGCTACTTGAAATCATTTCAATCATCGGCTAATTCTGTCTGATCGGCGTTCAGATTTACTGTTTCAGCTGCGATGCGCTGCTGTGTCGGACAACAAACGACACCGCAACCGTCACGACGTGCTGTCGTCAATCACTCCACCACACAAATTAGCCGCCGCGAAAATCGCCGAACAACGGTCTTTGGTGAGTTCATGTAACCGTTTATCCGATATCTCTATCCATTTCTCTTGACTCCTTCTCAATTTGCTCTTATTTACTTGCTCATAGCTGAATTCTTATTAACGTCCTAGTCGATCAGTTGCTTGTATTCTTTTGAATATTTCTTCACATGAGCTTAGAAAAGATTGTCAACCTCCTTAATTGGTAATGTTTCAATAGTTTTCATTTCCCTGATATTTTGTTCAGCGATAGTTCAGGAATTTTTGAACTCTTTTGTCTTTTTTTTTGTTTGAATTACTCATCACACACTTTGCGAGATGTCTTTCCCTAGAATCTCGAAACGTTTTTGTCTATTTCCGACTATGGACGAGTGTGATACAGTGGTTACAGGCACTTCTGTGATAAACTTGCTTGTTGTTTCATTCGAACGCGGAGAACTAGCCAAGCCCCATATATGTCTGGCAGGATTGTAAACCCTGACTTGTTAGTTGGATAGACCTCTGAAAGCTATTAAGCATTTAGTGGGCCATATAGCTACTCAGTCATCTCTTTAAACGTTAAAAATTTTATCTCTCTTTATCTTTTATCTTTTCCAATTCCCCTAGTTGAGAAAGTAAACTCGAAATTTATCTTTTATTCTAGTTAGATAAGTTATGTTGAGCTTTAAGGTCGTGTGAGTTTCTCACGGTAAACATTATGGTTTTCTCCGTAATTTGTCTGAATTTACATGTTATAGGATTACGATAGCTGAGTAAAGAATTGCGATAGCCGAGTTTTTGCACTAGTTCTGATGTATTCTTCTAGACGTCAGTCATAAAAAGATGGTTCTCCAGGGCATAACGACTTCACTCGACTCGATCCTCAAAAACTGAAAATCCAAAATAAGATTTCAAAAAGAAAGAGGAATATATCGTCGATTTAAAAGAAGACGAAACGCGTCGTCGTTGGCCAAATAAAATTATTAAGAACTCGTGTTGCAGACTTATTGAGCAGAGAAACATGTTTTTCGTCTTTTGTTTTTAATCATATATAAATGATTATGACTGGTTTCAGTGATAGATGTCCTGTTTGCAAAGGTAAGACTGAATTAGATTTCCGTATAGAATGCTTGGACTAGCTTTTCATGTGAATTTCTAAGAGATAACTTCGCCCGAGATTTTGAATGAGGGATTGTGTTTTGTGGAGAACTCAAGTATTTATTTGTGACCATATAGCAATACCCTCAGCATGCTCTCGAGAATTTACTAGACCAGTCTTTTTCTCCTCTTTTCAAGAGCCTCGAAAATACTATCCGCTATGAAGTCTCACACGAAAAGTGTACTGTTGCTCGTATCACTCAAACGGGTAGAGCGCATTTGGGTCAGCCGTGGCACACGACAGAGGCGATTGGCCGCTTTACTGGTGTGCTCGTTCAACTAAGCCGATGATTAACGTGGTTACATTTGAATCCAAGCCTCCTCATCGTATAGTTTTCCTTCTTTGCTGTTTAAATAAATCTTAATAAGGAATTTTTACGGTGTAGGTTTACAGCCCAACGAGTGAAAGAGAGAGAGAGAGAAATTGTTTGAAATTGGATTGCAATGTCTCTTGTTTATCCATTCATATTTGGTACATTCGTTGCTGATTTTGTAATTATTCACGCCTACCATCTGTGTGCTACAGTGAACTCAATAACTATTTTATTGGATACTGTGCCAGCTAGCTTGTTCATTTCAATGTTTGATGCCATTAAATTGGCGTAGTATGAAAATAAGTAAGTGTAACAAAGCCACCTACCTGCCTCATTTTTTCAGTCACACACTCTTTTCTCAAATTCTTACCAGGTATTATGGAGTAGATTTAACGGATTATAGGACTTTACAGATCTGCTCTGCTTATGGGGTAGATTTTGCAGATATTAGGAATACTGAGAGAAATCAAAACTAATAGTCAAAATAATGGATGACTTTTCTACCATGACACTGTTCAAGATTTTACACTCGTATTTTGATGTTATCATGATTGAATTACTCCTAATTAGCGCCAGACACGACTACATCGTTGCCGCAACAATTCGACTGTAAAATTTCACCTATAGCGAACTATTATGTTGTGTCAACGAGAGAAGTTCAATGAACAATTGTATCATATTATTCTCATAAGAATCGTTAAAATAAGCAGAACTAAGAATACTTTACGTCATATCTGACACGACTTGTGGTATATCTATCTGTCATCATCAACTTAACCGCTTTGGGAACGTCCGCATAAGCGATATCACCAGTGGCGCGCGATTTTCGTTCTTCAACAGAGATTTTTCTGTTTACTCTAGGAAATATTTTAGGTTCTTTGAATCATTCTGATAAAGCATGATTTTCTCTCCATGTCTGTGTACTTTTTGTCCATGTATAAAGTGCCAAGAAAACTCCGAATGTAAAACGTAATTCTATTTTCCCTTAATAAAGCCCTATGAGAACCTCTTCGAGAACCAGTTTAAGTTTCGGAACTGCTAAGACTTAGGCTATTGAATGGTTTAGGGTAGTATGATGAAAAGTGATCTGCAGACCTAGTTGACCAAAAAGGCAAACCGACTGTGAAACATAATTTTATTTTTGCTGCTACATCGTCTTATGAAGGTCTTTTTGGAAATCATGCAAGTCTCGGAATCCCTGAGAGTTAAACTTTCGAATGAATACTTAAAATATAGATAAAAACTTTGTTAACCGACAAAAGACCTTCGAAAATTTAGTGGTCAAAATGAGTCTCATCATCCACAGAGGGTTAAAATAGGTAAGGAGGAGGTGGGCAGCAACGGTGCCCTGCGGCCAATTCGTGATCTCAGCATGACAGTGTCCACGAAGGCATGTGTTAACATGTATAAGCGCGTTTAGTTAACATGTCAAGCCACCTCGCTACTCGAATGACGCCATTGATCGTATCGATCGATTTGTGCCATCGCTTTCGGTTATTGATTTGTCCCCATTCGTTGAAATGTATTTCATTGTCGTTCATTATTCACCCGAACAGTCTCGTGATTTCGGTTTTGTGCTGATGTGCATATTTCAATTTGAACGATGACGTCATCCGACGACTGCTCTAAAATTCCACTTTCTCTCTCTTCCTCTCTCTTCCTCTCTCTCTTCCTCTCTCTCTCTCTCTCTCTCTCTCTCTCTCTCTCTGTCAGGAGCAATCTGTGCTGGAAAATAGACGCATGCGGACGTTTTTTTTTCCAAAATTTCTTTATACCTATTTTTCCTCGCTTTTTTTTCCAATTTTTCCACTTTAGTTAGGCTTTTTTTTGAAAAACATTTTTTTTTTGACCGAAAACGCGGGTGTTTGCCGTCTTTTTTTTTCCTTAGAAGCAAACCGCTCTTGTCTTTGGTAATTTTGGGTAGTAGAAAATGCACCCATGAGAGTTTATAATGATTTTCGTCTCACGATATCTTCATAAATTTTCCTTTAATGTGAGAGTTTTGAAAAATCGATTAAAAGACACTGTGAATAATCTAATAATCTGACATTATATTTTGAGCCTATAGAAACTAGAAACTAAGAATATTATATCTAATTCCCGCTACCTCGGCTTCATACTGTGAAAACTACTGATTCAAACCCCCCGATATTTGAAAGGGCTCCATAAACATAAAGAAGAAACAAGGATAATCAAAACATTTATCTGATTTTTGTGGGCTAAAGATATTTTTCTAGAGGGTTTGAGTCATAATTCTGGTGACAAAGCAAGCGTCGGTAGTGCAATGGGTTAGAACAAGCGCCCCGGATAGGGTTAGATACGGGTTCGAGTCCCGAGTGACGCAGAAGTTTTACACCTCACTCAACATCATTGGGTATATTTATGTCATAACTTTTTGTCATAAAAAAAGTTTGGCGTAAAATTATTGATTTTTTGGGGAGATGATGCTTTTTTGGCAGTTTCTATGTAATTTGTGTTATTTGCATTCGTTAGTCGTGTTTACAATTTGACGTGAATCTGTCTTGACTTGTTAATGATAGAAACTTTTTTCTACGTTATCGGTAGGTTCGGTTTCTTGTGCTACAGCGATCCAATTTCTTTTTTTTTTTTTGCTTTTTTTTCGCCAGGAGCCGTCTCAGAAAGACTGGATTGTTCATTATAATGCTCTCCAATAATCCTTCTTACTGACTAGGTGATGAATGAAGGTCTGAGTAATCTCTGTGAGGGTTTCATGCCAATGTTTTGCGTCACTAATAGGTTTTGCTGTCAGGTTTATTGGGAGATACAAGCGGATATAAGCAAGACTGTTCGTTCAGTTTCACATCTTACTCGTTCGTCTAACGTTATCGTCTAGATCTTACAATTTGTCTCGGCAACTAGATCGGGTGGTAACTTTATACTCGTCAATTGTCGCCCTGAAAAAGAACCAAACAGTTGTTCCAAATGTTGTAATCGAAGAGAAAATGAGCAAGTTTGTTAGGAATTTTGATGACGAGCAGTTCTGAGTTTGATAATAATGGTATTTGATTAATACTAATGATGCAGCAGTACAATAACAGTACAGTAATGCAGTGCAACAATAATACAACGACTAACGTTTAGATGAATATCGCCTTATTCGGGGCTTGGAAAGGTCAAAATGATTTACAATCCACTCATTCAAACACCCCCATAGCCCGAGCAGAAATCCTAAAGAACAAATTTTGGATTTTGAGTTTTAGGGACTTGGTCATTACATTTTTTTGCCGGGGTCATGGAGGTGTTTGACTGAGTGAATTGCAAGTCACTTTGACTTTCGAGGCTCTGGAGAAGGCGAGACTAATGGAATTGTTAGCCATTGTATTGTTATTGTGATGCTGTATTGCATTACACTATGCTGTGTTATTAAGCTGCACTGAATATTCAATAATTACTACTATTACCAGCGTCGGAACTGCTCATCAGGAAAATGCCATTAATTTATTCTAATCATGCCTAGCTAAGGTTAAAAGATAGTCGGTCCTGGGAATCCTGGTGACTTTGAAGACATAGAATTAACTTGTTGAGGGATAATTCCTCTTTGATATGGAAACAACTCCAAAAGGGAGCTATTTAAGATAGCATGATTCTTTGTTGGCCACGTGAAACCTATCGAGCGGTGTGACTGGTGGTTTTCCTCTCACATCTAGAGGAACGGTTGTGAAGCAGGAGAGACATCAGCATATTTATTCATAGCATAAACTAAAGTGTCATCTTCATAGATGCTTCAGTGCATTGGACAATTAAGGGCTTTTTCTTCATTTCCACGTTATCAATGTCGTCCATCGGCCATCTTTTTCTGTTGAACATTTGGCATTTGGCCACAAAAATTGATATTTGAATGATTGAATACCGAAAGTTTTCTGAAACGACTCAAGAAGTATATGATCATTCGAATTCATTCTTTTTCTACTGATATTATAACGATCCATAAGATGTATTGTGGTATACATCGAGTGAATCTGGCTCTAAGTTTTAAAATAGTCGATTGAAAGTGTTTATATTTACATATTTGGGTAAGCTGTAAACCAAGCAAACAACAATCGACCATCAGTCACTCTGAAAGAGCGCCACTCTGGATGCTTCTCACTTGACTCGGAGCGCAACTTGTATGACTTTCAATTTCCTATGATGGTAGAGGGCGATAGCGGAATGGCATGTGCTACTGATGAGCTTTGCGAGAAAGGCGAAACTTACTTCTAGCACTTGAGATGCCGCATCAGGGCCTCTGAAAGACTTGAGGGAACTGAATCAGATTATTGTGAATCTGGTTTTGCTTCGATGTTATCAAATCTCTATTTAATCTGTTTGAAGCTTATCAGCTTTCTGTATTTTAATTCCATTGCTGTCGCAAATTGTGCAAGCGTCATCTCACTAGAATGTAATGAATTGTAACAAATGTTGAAAGTTCTCGTAATGTTCCATACACCAGAGCTGCTCATCAGAATCTCACGGCTGAAGATGGCCTTTGCGAACTTTGAAGTACCAAGGAGTAAAGTATATTATCTCTAAGTGGACAGCGTTAGCTCATTGTATATTTCGGCTATAGCATCATTTACAAATTGTCGTCGTCGGTCTCCATGGAGACTGCTTGACTTGAGTAAACAAGTGGATGTAGTAGACTTAATAGTCATTAGTGTGATAATTAAGCAGTCATGCAAACCAGTCTAAGTCTGTCCAGAGCTAACTGTTTGACATGATTGCCAAAGAGCGCCTTTAGGGTTCGCTATGTTCTCTGTATGACAAATGACGGCAATGTTGATTCTCCGACGTTTATCAAACTCCGTATAATCTTGCTTCTCCTTATTCCTTTTCTTGATCTAACCCATTTTTTGCCATAATTTGTCATGATCTTAGTAAACTGTTTATTTGCTTGATTTTCTTATTGCTAAGGAGTTCTTTTATGTTATCCGGGGACAAATCAAGAAACGACCCTTTTGCTGGGTAAGATCTTTTTGTAAGAAAATTGATAATCGTTGGAAAGCTTGGATCTCTGGCTATTGTGCTGCATTCCTCTTTTTTGGAAAACGTTTCCATAACGCTATAGCATTTGATATAAGCTTATATTTTACACCGGCTCTGAATTTCTACTGTTACTTCGCTGTGAACACGAAAAGCAAGTGAACGTGTAGAGGAAATCTTGTAATAACGGAGTCATACGTTTTATCCGCAGTTTTCTCACAAGACGGAGAAATTATCTCAGAATATTTAACAAAAATTGCACTCCATATGTTAGTCGCGCCAACGCAATTGATCGTCGATCGCAAAACGCCGTATCGAATCCACGGCCAGCCGATAAACAAGTCCACCGCGTATGAGAAACTCGATTTGGTTTTTTCTGCTGCACTCCAGTGAAAGGACTTTTTGCACAAAATAAGCACAGCGTTGGAATCGTCAAAACTAACGCTGTCGAATGATTATCCATAATTCCTTGAATAGTTCTGTCCTGCGAGAGAGAAATTATATGTGTGAAACACTTATGTTTTCTTTCTGCTGCAATGTTATAAAATGGCGCTTTTAGAAAAACAGGCCTCTTAGCGCACTAGCCGGAAATTAACTTTCGAATCTCAAACACTCTTAAGAAAAGTTTCCTCCAGCGAAAGAGTCGATTCTTCATTTATCCCCGGAGAACATCTGTTAAGGTTTGATGTAATCGAAATCTTTTGGTCAAAAACCTGGTTTTGCGCGGGAAATTGAGAACTCTCAAAATTTTGTTGGCCGTATGCTGTCTAGTGATCGGCAGTGATCGCTATCAAGATTGATCGCAAGCCTTGCATCGTTTTACTCATATCATTGTGATGGTAAGCATGAAATCAGCAAAGAAATGGGGGGGGGGGGGGGGGAATGAAGAGCTAACAAGCTGTTTCTCTGTTCACAGAGAGCTGCCACCTACATCGATTCATTTCGTGTTTTCGCTATGTTGAAATCTCTGTTATAATATTAGTATTATGTAGTGTAGAATACTGCTGTTGAAGTTACTTTGTGTAAGTCCAACACAAGGCGTTCATAATTCCTTTGGGAGTTTTTTGAGACGATTTATGAAGCTGTGAATCAAGTAAACACCCACAGATTCCGTTGAGAGTCAATAAGAAGGAAGGCGTGACGGCTTAGTCGGATCCAGATCATCTCAGAACAGCACACTTCTGGAAACTATTGCTTTACTTCTCCAATCTTTCTATGCCAAGTCGTTTGTACGTGTGAAGACCCTTTCCTTCCTGGACTGGCTTCAAATTGTGTGGAGTACAAATTTTGATTCTAACCAATCTTCTATATTCATTGTTTTTGGATTTTTCATTGCTCATTAGATTTTTTCAAACTGCCGATATTTTGAACTTTATTTCATCAATACAGTTCACTTTTATCCCACTTGGAGTAATCCCTACAGGGCCTCAATCTTGGTCTTGTAGGGGTCCAAATTATGACATAGTTCTTTAACTAAGTCATTCTTGTTACAAATAGTGTTCCTATATTACACAAACTTATTTGGCTGCACTTTTTTTTATTTGAGTTTTCTTAGGTTTTCACTGGTAAGAGATCTTCCAATAGCTGCTTTCGTTCATTATATAAGATGTGCACCCCAAATTTTCGTCGGCTTCCTCGTGTGTTTTGATTATCAAAATATTCGACTAGTTGAGAACTTGGAATGTACTAAACGTTTATGATTGAAATATCGCTGACACATATTGAGTACTATGACGGATCACCAGGGCCAAACCGTTGACGGTTAATTGCTGACAGATAGATGCGTTGTAGCGTAAAGTGGTGTCAGAAGAGGCGTCGGTAGTGCAACGGCTCGAGCACGGGATGAAATATGGTTTTGAGTCCCATCTGACGCAAAGTTTGCACATCACTGCATCAATGGATGTATTTATAATATCATGCCACCGCCAGATGCGGTTAAATAAAAACGAATTCTGTTTGAATTCTAGTATTTTTTTTAAATAAATGCTGAAGCGCAATACGCTTAAAACAATTCTATCGGAGTCATAAGGGCAACTACATTCTTCCACAGTGAGGTGAAATCAACTCATCGTCTGCCCTGTCCTTTATCGTGTGGCTTGAGACTAACATTACGTTACGTGCTTGAAGAATAATAATTAATCACTGCTGTTTGCATAATAGACGACATTTTCCGCTCTGCTGTATTCCGTTTTTCACGGCTTCCCCAGCTTCAACCAAAATAATCAGTGATTTATTTTAGTAATTTGTTGTGTAGTTCTGATACAAGCTTTACAAATCCAACTGTACTGCGCTTATTTTGGCCGTGCGGGACGAAACTACGACGCTGTCGTTATATTCTGAAATGTGAAGTTAAGTATTCCTTAT